GCGTGGCCCCCTGGGAGGGGGGAGGAGCCTGGGCCTGGACAAGGAACTGAATTCAAAGGCATCTGACCTGGGGAGCTGGGTAAGAGAAAGTTTTGTAGATTGTGCCACTATCGGTTACACTTTTTGGTTTTTTTTGGTACCACGGATCGAACTCCGGACCTTGCGCTTTTGAGGCAGGAGGCGGCACCACTGAGCTAAAACCCCGGCCCTGTTAAACTTTCGAGCAGGTAGGTTTCTTTGCGCCCAGATACATTTGGGTAGGTAGGGTCAAATGAGCATGTACGTGCTGTGGGGAAGCGCTTGATACTGGATCCAGATTCTAATTTTCAGTGTGTCTGTCCCTAGGTCTGTGTGCTACTCGCTATGCCGCTGCCTGTTGCGCTGCAGACCCGCTTAGCCAAGAGAGGCATCCTCAAACATCTGGAGCCGGGTGAGAAAGCTACAGATGACCTACAATGTTACCAGTCTTGACAGGCATTTTATTGTTGTTACTGACATCTAATACCTGGCATAGCGGGTGCACCAAGCAATGGAGTGACTGACATCTTGTTTTTTGGCTTTGTTTTGTTTTTTATTTTTTTGGTACCAGGGATCCAACTCAGGTCCTTGCATTTGCGAGGCAGGAGGCGGAACTACTGAGCTAAATCCCTGGCCCAGCATCTTGTTGTTAATATGATTTTCTGACATCCATTTCTACTGTACTAAGCAGTCTGTGGGGGGAGTGTTTGGGGGGCTTATATTTCATCTTCAGCAGTGACATCTGATGCTGTGTTTGATCCATGACTCAAACCAGGGGTGGTGGCACACACCTGTAGTGTCAGCGAGCCATTCGGAAGGCTGAGGCAGAGGAATCACTTGAGCAACATAGACCCAGTCCCCCAAAATAAGGTGGATGGAGTCGACACATAGGGGTGACTACATTTTATCTAATAGGAAGGATAGCTGGCACTACCTGCAGTCTCCTGTGTGTGAGGTGTTGATAATTTACCACAGTAGTGGCATGTTTCAGAGGTAGTCTAGTGATGGGCCTAATAGTGATGACATAGACCTTATTGTTTGCCATATGAACAGCTGACATGTTGGGGTCTCCTAAGTGCCTGGCATACATGTTATGGTTAACAGTCTAAACTGATGGCAAGGGCCAGGCATAGTGGCACACACCTGTATTCCCATCACATAGGAGGCTGAGGCAGATGGGTTTGGATGTGAGAAATACTTCATGTGCTTTTTGGCACACACGTATGTCTTCCACACATGGTTTGTGTGGGGCCCTGACTGTAGAATAAAACTTTCCTGATCTTTTTTTTTTTTTTTTTTTTTTTTTTTTTTGCCTCTTATCTGTTT